ACACACTCCTTTTTCCGTTAACTTTCACACTTCATTAGTCTCCACTTCACACACTGTCTTCCCACCTTCTTCCTTTTTTTTTTTTTTTTCTGATAAGCTAACTCCTATGTTTTTAGAAATTAGATGATTTACTTTAATGGGAAGTCAATTTTTTTTTTTCCTTTTGTGTTCCTTAAACATGGTGGTGAATGTGAATAAAAAAACCATATAAATCATTATGAATACAAGAGTTTTGTAAGGTCCAATGGTTCGCGGAAAATAATATGCGGTGGGAAAATATTTTCTAGATTATTTTTTAATGTTTGGAACAATTTGAAAAAAAAAATTAAAGGAAAATATTTTTTGTTGTTTGGTAAGCAATTAAAAAACTCTAAAATTTAACATAATCTTTATCAATTCGGGTAGCCCTTATCAATCCTGTACATTTCTCCCATTTTTATCTTTTGCTCCACTTGTTCATTTTCCTGCTTCCCCTAGCCATGCTGTTGAAATCTTAGCCTGCTTCCATCCCTACCTATTCCTTGTTTGCAACATATCAGTTTTAAGATCAGTAGAAAGACACTTTTATCACATCCACCTATTCATCCTAGAAAGCCACCTTATTACGCCACAACCAGATTACCAGCACAACCCCTCTCTGACAAAAGATTGAACAGCTGGTGTGGGTTGTCAAAGGCGACTCTAATCTTCCGAAACTCATTGTCTCAAAACCCAAAAACTCAACTTATGCACTCAAGACAACAAGAAGTATTATATTATACATGATAAAATAAATTCCAATAAATTTTAATGGGTTTCTTGATCTACCTAGCATGTTTAGGACATTGTATTTCATGGGTTTTGGCAAATTTGTCCTCCTCAGAGGTTTCACATCAATCACTCTGACTCATAGAATGAAACCAAATCTCTGTCTTAATGTAAATAATATATATTATATGTACCTTGTATTTAATTAGAACTTCCTTATTTACTAGGGGTTAGAAGATTGCCTGTATTGTATATATTGCTCTGTATTTGCTTAATAAAATCATCAGCTTAAGCCTTCAATGAGAGGCACCAAAGCTGTGGCTAAAAGGAAGGGCTAAGGCTTTATCTCCACATTTTATGAATGGGAAAATAACCCTTCTGACTATATTGTGATAGTTAGATAAAATTTAGTTCAGATGTTTGTATTATGTAATTACAGGCTTACTTTTTGAATGGTTCTATAATTAGTGGACGTAATGGGTTTGAGGTCCCCCTTATACGTCCTTAATAAATTACTCTTTGTTGATAAAAAAAATAAATAAAAGAGGTATACTTCATTTTTTATTAATTTTTCTTATGATAACATCTCCTAACTTACCTTCACGTATTTTATCATTACATTTATCTATCATTACATTTATCTATCCACCTATATATGCCTCACTTTCTTAGTTTCTATATTAATAAATTTGTTTATCATTATTCTTTCTCCCATTATCGTCCTACTCTATTCTTTTTTTAATCACTCATTGCACCTCTATCGATCATTATAAATCTTTTCTTCATTATCCTTGTTCCCTCAACATTATTGTTTTTTAGTTAGTCGTTATATCTCTATTTATTATTGTATACCATTTTTACCCCTATATATATAAGGATAGTGTATAGCAATTCTATCCTCCTCAAATTTTTTTTTGGAGAATTTGCCTAAAAATCCACCTTTTAATTAATATTTTCAAAAACCAATTGTTGGATTAAAAGTTTTATTCATATAACTCATGCATATCAATTTTCATATTGATTTAATACTTATAATCCCTTGATCAAAATAACTCTATTTATTGTTATATATTTAACAATATTAAATTTCTTATAATTAAGGAAGTGGTTAGCCCTACTAGTCAACATGAAAATTTACATGCATGATCTATACGAATAGAACTTTTAAGCCAACAGTTAGTTTTTAAAAATATTAATTAAAAGATGAATTTTTAGACATATCCTTCAAAAACATTTAGGAGGACAATTTGCAAAATCACTTTTCCCTATATATATAATCTCCCCTATTGTGTTATATTAGAAATGTTTAATTTTGTCTTAATGAATATATTGAAAGCCTCTAAGAGCTCTTACTCTATCATTTTCACAATATTTTGATATATAATTTAGACTTTTGATAAAGAGAATATTCAAACATTTTTAGATTTCTTGCAAAATCTCCTTCTTTACTTTTAGGTTCTTGTAAGTGTTACTCTACATTTTCATCAATTTTACATTGCAATTTGTAGCCATTTATATCACCCTTCACTTTTTTTTTTTCTTGCGATCAACACCTTCCAATATTTGAAACTCGTTGAAAGTCCCAAAGTTAACCCTGAAGTCCCATGCCCGTTAAGTTCCATCTATCTTTTCACATGTGGCTCAACTCTACTGATTTGGACCTTATGTGGACAATTTTTAATGACATGACAAAAATTGAGTGTGCATGGCACCATGTGGCATCCACATAAGCAATGGGACCCACAAAAGGCAAGACTTTTCCCATTTTTTAGACTTCTTTGGGGCTTTCAACATATTTCAAATTATAGAGCGTTAACTAGAAGTAAAATTTGTGGAGGGTGTTAAATGGGAGTAAAAAATAAAGTGAATGGTGCAAATAAGGGGTTCAGTTTAATTCTTAATTGTTAAGAAATAAGTTTATCCAAAATTATTTACATCTTAATAATTACTCCCTTAGTTTAAAAATAATGGGGCAAATAAGAATTAATTTATAAAATTCACTTTAAATATAATATAATATGTATATGCTAAATACATTATATAATGAGGGTTTAAATATCATTTTAGTCCCTCAACTTTTTATTTTTGTATCAAAATTATCTTTCAACTTTAAAAAATATCAAAATTATCTTTAAATTTTTATTTTTAGTATCAAAATAATTATTTCATCAATTAAATAAACAAATAATAGGTTAAAATATTACAAAATCACATTTTATAAAAATAATAATTACGTGAAAAACACATCATGCAAACAGGTGATGAGATGGCTTTTTTTTTCCATATGGCACTTTTTTTCGTATTTTAATAAAAATCCACATAATTTATTATTATATTATTCATCTTCTTTTTCCTCCCTTCTTCTCTCTCATCCCTCCGCCCCTTCCTCTTTCCCGGCCTTCTTCCTTCTCTTCCCTCCTCCTTCTACCTTTTTCTTTTTCTTTCTCTCTCTTCTCCCTCCTTCTTCCTCTCCAGATCTGGGTTTTCAAACCAACCTGAGCCTCCCCAATTCGCCCAAATTTGGTGTATATATTTACCCGTGAATACTCTCTGAAGCCCAAATATACCCAGAATGCAAACACAACTTCAACACTGGAGCTAGAGTCATTTTACTTATGGAAACATAATACCCACGAAGAAGGCGAAAAAGGCGAAAACCCTCTTGCACACTGTCAACCACAGAGTCGACAGATTGAGCATAGGTGGTTAAGATTGAGTTCATGAGAAACTGTAAATTGATTGTTCAAGAGAGGATCCATCAGTGCAGATGGAATTGGATCTCAATAGCTTGTTCAAGAGAGGAAAACTCGATCTGATGCGCCCTGCCATCGCCATTTCTCCTTCTTGTTCTTCTTCTTCTTCTTCGGATGATTCTACAGAACAACGAAAAAAAAAAAGGAGAAAGCAAGATTTGAAGGAAAAGATGGGAGACGTTATGTTGTTCATCGATGATTTTCCTGCGAATTCTGGAGCTTTGTATTGTAGAATTTGCCACGAAGCAGAGTTCGAAAGCTGCAAGAGCTTGGAAGCTCTCTACTCTTGTTTCGGTACCGTTAAGGTAAGAGAGAAGGTATCGTAGTCTCTTCTTCGGCGTGTTCTTCGACTACTAATTCTGGTTTTGAAAAATTTTTTCTAGGTTTGTGTTTTTATTCTGTTTTTTTTTTTTTTTTCCTGTTTTCAGTTTGCGCATAGAGATTGCATACAGAGATGGTGTGACGAGAAAGGAAACACAACTTCTGAAATCTATCTCCAGCTTTGAAATTTAAGTTTGGTTTGAGAACCCAGATCTGGGTTTGTAATACCAGCATACCAGATACAGTTGTACCAGATATCAGTTATACCAGCTATTTCGGGGATCAAGGAACTAAATTCTTCAAATATTTCTGTTACCATTATTTTAGGCTCTAGTTCAACTAAGTTTGGTATTTTCACTTGTATATAAACTTATAATTCTACAGTTTGTTCATGGAATATTGAGATAAACCTTTCATATCTTGACATGGTATCAGAGCGGTGTTTCAATCCTGTGTGATTCATCTCTATTTCATCTGCTTTTTTTTTTTTTTTTCTAAAACAGTCAACATGTCTGGCGGAGAAGATTTACCTAAAAAGCCCACAGCTCCTAAAGACACATTCAGCAGTGAAACAGATTCATCTACCTCTCCATTTTATTTGCATCACTCAGATAGTCCTGGAATAGTGCTAGTCACGCAACCATTAACAGGTGATAATTATCCTTCTTGGAACCGAGCAATGACCATGGCACTTGAAGCAAAGAACAAGCTAGGATTTGTTGATGGAACCATCAACGAACCAACATCAAATTCCACTTTGTTTACAATCTGGAGCAGATGCAACAGTATGGTACTCTCATGGATTTTGAATGCACTTTCAAAAGACATCGCCAATAGTGTCGTGTTTATGAAGACTGCTTGTAATGTCTGGATCAATTTGAAGGATCGATTTTCTCAGTTCAATGCACCATGGATTTTTGAGATTTAGAGGGCAATCGTGAATCACTTGCAAAAGAATGATTTGTCACAAAATATCATACAGTTTTGAAAGGATTATGGGATGAACTGACAATTTATAATCTACATCCAGCTTGCACATGTGAGGCAGCAATGGAGATCAGTACCTTAGATGAACAAAATCGATTGATGCAATTCCTTATGGGGCTTAAGAATCTTATAGCAACTTGAGGAGTCAGATCCTCTTGACGAATCCATGGCCTATTGTTTCAATGGCTTTATCTTTGGTTCTTCAGGATGAAAGGCAAAGATCTATTCAATCTGTTTCCTCACTGCCATATCTAGAACAATCAACCATGGTAGTTGTCAACTCGCAAGAGTTTGGTCGTTCTAATCAATAGTTCAGGACTAGAAATGGAAGACCTTTCTATCACTGTGATTTTTGTGGCCTAGATGGACACACGAAGACACGGTGCCGGAAGAAATAGGGGACTCAAAGTTTCCATGCTTCTCAATATAGGTGAGAATTCAAAGAGGCTAATGCTCGACCAAGGTTTAGCAACATGAGACATAATCAAAATTCTCCAAAAAGTGACTCAAATCACCATGTGGCAGCAGCTGTCAACTAAGATGCATTCAGCTCAAACCAGAACCAACCTTTCACTCAGGATCAAGTTCAACAACTTCTTACACTCATTCAACCAAGTACTCTCAACACCTCTAATCCTCTAGTTAACATGGTAGGTATTGATACTAATTTTTCTCATCAAAAGTGGGTAGTTGATTTAGGATGCACCACTCATGTCATAAGTCGTTTTTCATCTTTACAAAATGCACAAACCTATAAAGGTTTACCGATTAAATTACCCAATGGGGAGTATTCATTAGCCACCTATTCTGGATCTGTAAAGTTCAATTCTTCTTTACATCTAGAAAATGTTCTTCATGTGCCTACTTTTAAATTTAATCTCTTCTTTGTTAGTCAAATTACTAAGTCACTTAATTGTTCAATCCTTTTTCTACCTAATGTTTGTGTCTTCTAGGACCTAGTGACGAGGAAGGTGATTGGTTTAGCGAACAAGCATGATGGCCTTTATTATCTTGACATCAACAATAAAATATCTCCAGCAATCTCACTTGCAACAACCTCTTTACCTTTGGATCTTTGGCATTGCAGGCTTGGACATCCTAGTTATACTGTTGCACCTCATTTTTCTCATCTAGATCAAAGTATTTCTTTTTCTAATAAATGTCATTGTACAGTTTGCCCTTTGGCCAAACAAACTCGTTTACCCTTTCCCACTGGTTTTATTTCAACAAGTGCTTATTTTGATTTAATTCATATAGATATTTAGGGACCATATTCAACTCCATCACTTACTAGAGCTCATTATTTTCTCACAATTGTGGATGATTTTTCTAGGAATACTTGGGTCTGCTTAATGCAGCATAAGTCACAGACATTTTCTATACTTCAAAGTTTCTTTTTCATGGTGCAAACACAATTGAACTCTATTATCCATCGTGTTTGCAGTGACAATGGCACAGAATTTTTTAATCATACAATTTGTGAATTCTTTACCTCGCTTGGGGTTATTCATGAACACAGTTGTGTTAAATATTGCTCAAGCTCTTCGGTTTCAATCCAAACTTCTCATCAAATTCTAGGGAGAGTGTATTCTTGCTGTTGCCTACCTTATTAACCGCACTTCATCCAAGGTACTTCATGGAAAAACTCCTTTTGAGCTGTTATTCCGCAAAGTTCCTTCTTATTCTCATTTATGTGTGTTTGGATGTCTTTGTTTTGCATGAAACACTCACATTAAACACAAGTTTGATGCTCGTTCTCATCCTGGTATTTTCATTGGGTATCCTTTTAGTTAGAAAGGTTATAAAATTTTTTATCTTTCCACTCAACGAGTCTATGTGAGTAGAGATGTTATCTTCCATGAAAGTGTGTTTCCCTCTCTCTTTGTGACTAAGGATGCCAGGTCTCTGCCTATTCCAATCCATGATCCAAATCTCATTGATTCTAATTTGTCACCAAATACAACAAATGAATCGATAGCTTCCCCATCCATCTCTTTTATCCCTTTACTACCTCAAAAACAAGAAGTAGATGACCTGAGTACTAGCTACCATGTTCAACATGATCGTGTTCCTCCCTTATGACGTTCCCAACGTCATATTCAGCCACCATCCAAATATAAGGACTATCATTGCTTCAATGCTCAATATCAATCAACTTCTATGTCTTCAAGTACAAAATTTCCTCTTGATAAATGTCTTTCTTATTCTTGGTTCTTTGGTAAACATTTTGTTTTTCTTAGTTCTTTATCCTCTATTGTTGAACCCACTACTTTTTATCAAGCTATAAAGTTTCCTAAGTGGCAACAGGCTATGCAAGCTGAGCGAACTGCTTTGGAAGACACCAACACATGGTCTTTAGTCACTTTGCCACTAGATAAAAAGCCTATTGGATGCAAATGGATATTCAAAATTAAAAGAAAATATGATGGTAATATAGAACGATACAAAGCTCGTCTTGTTGCCAAGGGTTTTACTCAAGTGGAAGGTGTTGATTATCATGATACATTTGCACCAGTTGCTAAAATAGTGACAGTGTGTGTTCTTTTAGCCATTGTAGTTGTGAAACAGTGGCCTTTGCATCAATTAGATGTCCGAAATGCATTTTTACATGGTGATTTATATGAAGAGGTTTACATGACTTTACCTCCAAGGCATCCTCAAAAGGGGGAGAAGGATCTTGTCTACAAACTCCGTAAGTCTCTTTATGGCTTAAAGCAAGCCTCACGCATGTGGTTTGCTAAATTTTCTGCTACTTTACTTGACATGGGGTTTCAACAATCTTATGCAGATTACTCACTATTTACTTTGACCCAAGGTTCTGCCTTTGTTTATGTTTTGGTGTATGTTGATGATTTGATAATTACAGGCAACAGTTCTTCTTTAATCTCTCAAGTGAAGTAGTTCTTATTCAATAAGTTTAAGCTCAAGAATTTGGGTAATCTCAAATACTTTCTTGGCATTGAGGTTGCTCGTTCTTCTCAAGGTATTTATCTATGCCAACGAAAATACACTCTTGATTTGCTTAATGATGCTAGTTTTCTGGGCACTCAAACTACTGAAACTCTTATGGAACAGAACTTGAAACTTACCCCTTCTGATGGTTCCTTATTGGAAGACCCTTCACTATATCGGAGATTAGTTGGTCGGTTAATCTATCTCACCATTATGCGACCGGACATTTGTTTTGCTGTCAATATATTAAGTCAGTTTATGCAATCTCCTCGGAAACCCCATCTTGATGCTGCTCATCACTTGCTTCATTACTTGAAGAAAACTCTTGGGCAAGGCATTCTTCTTTCTTCTGGAAGTTCTCTTCAATTACAAGCTTTTTGTGATTCTGACTGGGTTAGTTGTGCAACAACTCGGCGTTCTACTATAGGCTATTTCATCCTTCTTAGTGATAGTCCCATTTCATGGAAGAGTAAGAAGTAGGGTACTGTGTCTCATTCCTCAGTAGAGGCCAAGTATCGGGCTATGGCCAAAACCACTAGGAAGGTTGTTTGGTTGCGTGCTTTATTCTCCACTTTTGGCATTCATCTCCCTCATCCCACACCGCTCTATTGTGACAATCAAGCTACTCGACATATAGCAGAAAATCCTATGTTTCATGAGTGGACCAAGCATCTTGAAATTGATTGCCATATTGTTCGTGAGAAATCCTTGGTTGGTGTTCTCTACCCCTTGCCGATTTCTTCTTCCCATCAACCTACAAGGCATTGAGTAAAGACAGTTTTCAATTCCTTCATGGCAAGCTAGGCATTCGCGACCTTCATGCTCTAGCTTGAGGGGGAGTAATACCAGCATACTAGATACAGTTATACCAGATATCAGTTATACCAGCTATTCCGGAGATCAAGGAACTAAATTCTTCAAATATTTTTGTTACCATTATTTCAGGCTCTAGTTCAACTAAGTTTGGTATTTTCACTTGTATATAAACTTGTAATTCTACAATTTGTTTATGGAATATTGAGATAAACCTTTCATATCTTAACAGTTTGAGAAAAACCCAGATTTGGAGAAGAAGAAGAAGGAAGAAAGAGAGAGAAAGAAAAAGAAGAAGAAGAAAGAAGAAGGATAAGCAGAGAAAGGAAGGAGGAAGATTGATAGAGAATGAGGAGGCAAAATTGTCCAAAGAGGAAAGGAGGAAGAAGATGAAATTTGAGAGAGAAAACCCAGATCTGTGATTGGAAAATAACCTTTTACTCTGTGCAAACATCTTGTCCATGAATTCTTGGTTGATTTCATGATTTACTAGATATAAAAATCCACAATCCAAACACAACTAAATCAAACCAAACAGAAGCACACAAATTCAAAATTTCAAAAAAAAAAAGAAGTTTAAGTTGAAAGATTTTCCAACATAGTCACAACAACATAGTAAGTACTGAAAACAATTATGAATTTTCAACACATCTCTAATGTATTATGATCCAAACCAAACTCGAAGATGATGCTAAGCTTCATGTTTTAGGGTTTGCCAAGGTAAGGGAAAAGGAAAGGTGAAGGAGAGAGAAAGTGAAAGAGGAAGAAGAGTTTTTTTTTTTTTTTGTTCTGACGTGGATGAAAAAAAAAAGATGTCATTATTTTTAAATTAAATAAAAATGTCAACTCATAAAAAAATGGCCAACTATATTTTTTGTTTTTCCATGTCATTAGTTACTGGCAACATAATGTGCCACTTGTCATTTAATTGACGGAGGAATCGTTTTGGTATCGTAATGAAAGTTTATGGATAATTTTGGTACTTTTTAAAGTTGAAGGACAATTTTATACCAAAGTAGAAAGTTGAGGGACCAAAATGGTATTTAAACCTATAATTAAAGTAGAAGTTAGATTACATATCTAGATAAGTTGTTTTTAGCTTTAATAATATGTAAATTTAGAAGTCACATTATTGGATGATAATTGAAGTCAAATTTGAAAACAATTCATAAGTGGTTCTATAGAAGATGCTCTGCCTACTGCTAATGCATTAGACAATGTTGAGCCTTCTTCCATTACATCCTTTGTATCACTTGTTGATATTGGATTTGACCCTGTTGGTATTGAGCTTGAAAATGAGATCATTATACCATCTCCAAGTCATCCTACTCGAGTGAGATATCCCTCTAGCTATCTTTGTAATTTTTATTATTTTCTTGTCATTGCCTCCTTACATAAACCTCGATCTTATTGAAAAGCCTCTTCTAACAAATGTTTTGAAAATTGACCAAGTAGTCAAACCATTTTGACTTTTGGTTCTTGGTTTGATCAGTTTAATTGGTTCAATTGTTCAAATCATTGATTCAAACCGTCGGTTCAATTGAATATGAAAAAATATAATGTTATGCAATAGTTTGACACACCACATGCAGTGGTTCTATTGGTTTGTTGCCATCCTTTGTTCTTTATTACAGAGAAGATGCAGGTTCGAATCTTGTGGGTACTAAAATGGAATTTTGATGCTTCTAACTTCTAACTTGAAATATATTAATAGACTTTTT